ATGAGAGCAGTAATAGCTTGGTTCAAGAATTCTCTGATCTTTCTTGGTTCTGTCCAGCTAACGATGGGCTTTCACATTGCAAGAAAAAACAGAAGAAAAATTCACAGAACTGCGGACTTGTTTGGATTTCTTCTCCCAACTTTTCTGTGAGTAATAGAGAATAGCAGCAACTAGATAGGTGCAACTCGTAAATTAATTTCCTATATATACTTAATCAAGAAGACAAGCGTATAATTTTATATCTACTACCCCTACCTGACCCTCCTCAACACTCTCTTTTCTTTTTCTTTTTTGGAAACCAGGGTCTTGGCTCCATCTGTGGCGGTCTTGGCTCCTGGTCTCTAAAGATTCCTCCCTCTCAGGCCTCTCAAGTAGCTGGACCACAGGCGAACCTGCCACCACACGCAGCTGAACCTTTTGTTACCCACACCCAGCTAATTTTTAAAATTTCTGTAGAGACAGGGTCTTGCTATGTCTCCCAGGCTGGTCTTGAACACCTGCTCAAGCTATCCTTCTGCCTCTACCTCCCAAAGTGCTGGAATTACAGGTGTGAGCCACCAGGCCTGGCCCAACCCTCTTTCTATAAATATAAACACAGTAACACAATACAGACATAAACTAACATGAGCATAGCAATCAGGAAAAAAACAAACAAAACAAAACAAAAACAACTGTAAAAACCATTTGGACATTTTATTTTTATTTTCTATTTTTTTTGAGACAGGGTCTCACTCACTGTGTCACCCAGGCTGGAGTACAGTGGCAGGGCTAACTGCAGCCTCGACCTCCTGGGCATAAGGCCTCCTGAGTAGCTGGGATCACAGTAGCATGCCACCACATCCAGTTAATTTTTTTTTTTTTTTTTTTTTTTTTTGAGGAGTCTCATTCTGTTGCCAGGCTAGAGTGCTGTGGCGCCATCTTGGCTCACTGCAACCTCCACCTCCCTGGTTCAAGGGATTCTCCTGCCTCCGCCTCCTGAGTAGCTGGGATTACAGGTGCCTGCCACCATACCTGGCTAATTTTTGTATTTTTAGTAGAGACGGGGTTTCACCATGTTGGCCAGGCTGGTCTCGAATTCCTGACCTCAGGCGATCTGCCTACCTTGGACTCCCAAAAACGCTGGGATTACAGGCGTGAGCCACTGCGCCCAGCAGTGGCTTAAGACTAGGCTGGGTTGGCCAGGTGCAGTGGCTCAGACCTGCAATCCCAACACTTTGGGAGGCCAAAGCAGGCAGATCACCTGAGCCCAGGAGTTCAAGACCAGCCTGGGCAACATAGCAAAACCCTGTTTCAACAAAAAATACAAAAATTAGGCAGGTGTGGTGGCATGTGCCACCCAGCTATGTGAGTCCCAGCTACTCCAGAGGGTTGAGGCAGGAGGACCACTTGAGCCCAAGAGATTGAGGCTGCTGTGAGCTGAGATCACATCACTGCTCTCCAGCCTGGGCAACAGAGTGAGACCCTGTCTCTTAGAAACAAGAAAAAAAGGTTGGGCACGGTGGCTTACACCTGTAATCCCAGCACTTTGGGAGGCTGAGGTAGGTAGATCATTTGAGGTCAGGAGTTCAAGACCAGCCTGGCCAACATAGTAAAACCCCATCTCTACTAAAAATACAAAAATTAGCTGGGCATGGTGGCGGGCTCCTGTAGTCCCAGCTACCTGGGAGGCGGAGGCAGTAGAATCACTTGAACCCAGGGAGGTGAACGGGTTGCAGTGAGCCTGAGATTATACCACTGAACTCCAGCCCCTGGCCAATAGAGACCTC